GGTTGTGCGCTCAATCCCCAGTAGGGGGCAGGCAGGGGGCTGCTGATTCTCGCTCATCATTGATGATTCTATCTATTCATCTCCCTTCTCCTCTCTGAAACCAATAAAAACATATTTTAAAAAAATGAAGAGCCCAGTCGGCGTGGCTCAGAGGTTGAGCATCTACCTATGAACCAGGAGGTCACAGTTCAATTCCCGGTCAGGGCACATGCCCGGGTTGCGGGCTTGATCCCCAGTGTGGGTGTGCAGGAGGCAGAAAAGACAATCCAACAGAAAAATAAGCAAAAGTCATGAACACAGAGGAAAATAAGAAGCCACCAATTTATGAGAAGATGTCCGATCTCATCAGTAATCAGGGAAGCATAAATGAAATCCTGTGAGATTTATGCCCTTGGCAAAAATGAAAACTGCCCGCAGCAGCCCGATATGCGGGGCAGTGACTGCCACCTGCTTCCCCGACTGAGTTAGTGCGACTTTGGAGAACGACCTGCATGTTGCCCATAAGGTTGCGCGGTCACCCGGCCTCCAGACCATCGCGTCTCCTGGACATTCATCATACGAGGCTGTCCCAGCCGTACTGGGTGGCAAAAGCACAGGTTGCCCATCACAGAAGAGGTTCGCTTGTGTGTGTTTACAAGTGGAACACCGTACAGCCGTGCGAACTAGGGCTGCATGCGTGAACACAAGTGAATCTCAGGCATAACTTGAACAGAAAAAGCAAATCACAGAACACGGCAACATTTACGTAATGTGTGGTTGAGAGGAAAACAAGGGAATAAAAGCACAGAATTGAGGGCTGTTCCTTCAGCCCGGAGGCCACAGGGTGCAGGCCAGGAAAGGCAGTTGGACGAACTCTTAAGCTGGGTGGCGGTTGCATGGGTGTCTTATTCTTTATAACATATGTGTTAGCTATTTTAACAGGCACTCACTGTGCGCTAAGCATTTAGCATGCCTCTCTGTCCTCTTCAGCAGGGCACACCAAGAGCATGTGTGGTTCAGGGCTGGGCGCCATCAGCTGCGGCCCCGGCAGAGCCCTGTGGATGCGGGGTGGGCGCCCACCGGGCACTGACTCCTTCTGCCTGCCCACAGGTACTGAAGTCCACAGGGGATGTGTCCGGCGGCCGGGCCCTGTACGAGGGGTATGCGGCGGTCACGGATGCTCCCCCCGAGTGCTTCCTCAGCCTCAGGGACACGGTGCTGCTCCGCAAGGAATCTCGGAAGCTCATCGTTCAGCCCAACACTCGCCTCGAAGGTAACGGACTCCTGAGCCTCCTTTGGTGGGGGCCGTGCAGCCCTGTGGGAGCCCAGAGGAGGCCTGCCACTGGCCAGGGGCCCAGGGAAGGCTATCTCCTACCTATCTCCCTGCCACAGTCCTCCTCATGCCAAACCTCAGGCCAAAACCTTGGCATCTACCATCACCACCATCACTACCACTGTCCGTGGTCATGCTGATGATAAGATGGGAACAGAAGGTTTGAGAAAGGCCAGCAGAGCCAGGGCTAGTCGAACATGCAGACCCCAGGGCGGGCAGGCATGGTACCAGAGAATCAGACCTCGCCCTGAAGTGAGTCACATCAGGCAGTGAGTTGGGACCCAGCGGGCCGAGTGGAACCCAGGGGACAACATGATTCAGCAGAGCCAGGACAGAGATCATAGCCCTGTGGTTCCTCTACCTTCTCAAGTGATGATCCCATTCCCAGAAGCCCTGACCCCGTGTGCATTGCACTTGGATCTTTTGTATTCAAAGCCCTTAGGGATCCCAGCACCTGCTGATTCACTTTCCCTCCCCCCTTGACGCGTCTACCCTGACATCTGGCTCACGAGGCACCTATGAAGAGGCGGTGCCAATCAGTGGTTAGAGCATGAGCTTCGGAACTGCTCTGCGACCTTGTCCTAGCACTTGGCTGCTCTGGGCTTGGGTGTCTTCATTCATAAAGCCAGCCTTGATGTGTGCTTACATTGTAGTGAGCCTGAATTAAGTACTTCCTTCAAGTTCTAAGTGCTTTCCATGGACCAACCCTTTAAACCCTCACAATAATCCAATGAGGTAGATATTTTTATTACCCCATTTTACAGATAAGACAATAGAGGCACAGAGAGTAAATTACTCAAGGCTTATAGCTCGATATTAGATGAGCCAAGAGTGAATTTAAAAGTGTTTCCTCTTCACTACCACATCCGGGGCAGTAGTGAGGGTTAAATTCGGTAATTACCTCCTACTGGTGAGGAAGAAGCATTTAAGAGGCTTATCCTAAACTCTACTCTACACTCCAGAGGCTCCATGGGCTTTGGCCCTGGCCCATTGCCGACCTCAGCGACCCTCTTGCCTGGTTCGCTGCCTTCCAGGCACATGAGCCTTCCCGTTTCTCCAACACCCTGAGCTCGCTCTGCTCTTATAACCCTTGCACTCGCTGTTCCCTCTGCTTGGCGTGGTCCTCTCCCAGATCTTTGTCTGGATGGCTCTTCTTGTCATTTGGGTCTCTATATAACGGCATCTCCTGGGAGAGGCTGTCGCTGACCCCTCAATCTAAAGCAACCCCTTTGGTCCCTCTTGGCTTTCTCTTCTTCATGCACCCATCACTCTGCCATTTTCCTGTCTGCCTCGTCTCCATGACAGCAGAAGCAGCATATCCCCTGCACCTAGCACAGTGCCTGGCACACTGGAGCTGCTCAGTGCCTGTCAAATGAGTGAATGAATGAATGAATGAATGAATGAATATGAATCATGCTGGGCACACGGTAAGTGCTGGTTCCATGGACATTATCGTCATCACTCTGATTGTTCTGCCCAGCAAGGGCCAGTGGGGACCAAGAGGTGAATCGGACCCAGACCCTCGCCTCAAGTAGCTCACAGCCCATTAGGAAAGCCTGCATGAGTGCCCAGGAGACGCAAACAGTGGTTTGAACAGGAAGAGAGAAGGTCACATCCACCTTCAAGGGAGTCGGGGAGGGTTCTGGGGAGGAAGTGGTGATTACACGAGGCCTGAAGGACAGGCTGGATTTTCTTTTTATTTTTTTGTTTGGATTTTCAAAGGTAGTGTTGGTAGTGATGATGATAGCTAACTTCCAAGGACTTTCATATGCCAGGCACTGGGTAAAAACTTCCCATGGATTAACTCCCAACAACCTAATGAGGAAGTAACTGTCCCCATTTTTCAGCTGGAAACTGAGACACAGGGGGACTGACTGTATTTGTTTGAGGTCACACAACTAGTGGGTGGCAGAACCAGAATTTGAACTTGGGCCATCTGAACCCAGAGCCTGTGCTCTTAGCTCTATACAGCACACAGTGCCACAGAGCACAACAAGGCACTGTGGGGGGATGTGAGTTAGAGGGAAGCTTCCAGGAGTGTTCAGAGGACCCTCGGAGCTGCCCCATTTAAGAGATGAGGAAATAGGTCAGAGATAACGCTGCTAGCACTTGTTGAGCACTCACTTGATGCATTATTGTATTTAATCACTACAGCTTCTTGAGGGAAGAGGTACTGTGCTCACCCCCACTTCACAGATGAGGAAACTGAGGCTTAGAGGTTGAGGAGCGGCCAAGGACAGTGTCTGTTTATCCTGGCATGGCACCTGGCATACATCTTTTATTAAATGAATGAATGAATGCAGCAACTCATTAAATATTTCCTCTAATATTTCCTTCCTCATAGGGTTATTGTAAGGAGGAATAGATAATAAACCTAAAACATTGGACACAATTTTTGGCACATGGTAAGAGCTCAGGAAGAACGAGCCGCCGCTGCTGCTGCTGCTGATGGTGATGACAATTCTGCTTCCCTATTAAGACCTTTCTCTGCTGCTGTTTTCTCTCCATCTCCTCCCCAGGCTCAGAAGTGCAGCTTCTTGAGTACGAGGCCTCGGCTGCCGGTCTCATCCGATCCTTCTCCGAGCGCTTCCCAGAGGATGGGCCCGAGTTGGAGGAGGTTCTCACCCAGCTGGCCACAGCCGATGCCCAGTTCTGGAAGGGCCCCTGTGAGGCGCCATCTGGCCAGGCGTAAAGCAGATTTGTACAGCCCCTCCCCCCCTCCATCAAACCAAGGCTGCAAGTGGCCCCCTTTTTATGTGCGCATCAGGGGCTAAGGGAGGGGCAGGAGCTCAGGCCTTGGTGCTACCTCAGCCGAGGGTGGTGACACTAACCCCTTCCATTTGGCAGCACTTTCCACTTTACCAACTACTTCCCTGTGTTATCTCATTTGATCTGTGCTGCCCTCTGTGGAATGGGCAAGGCAGGGCACCTTATCCTGATTCCCAGATGAGGAAATGGAAGTTCTGAGAAGTGACCTGTCTAGAGCCTGCAGGACTCAAAACCTCTCCCTGTCTAGGGCTCTTCATGGATTACTTTTATAACCAGAAAAATAAATATTAGAAATAAATAAATACTGTGGTCTGAGTAATTTCTCCTCGTCTTTGCTTCACTTTTCTTTTGCTCCTACCAGGGTAGTGGGATCAGGGGCTGGGGAGGGGGCAGGAGGGTCATTTCCAGGCGTCCATCCCCTGAGGATGTGCGCACAGTTACAGAATTGAACATAGCACAATTTCTGCACTCATTTGTGGCATTTCTTGTGTTTTGAAATATTCTGGGAGCCTAAAAACTAGAAACCCGCAACTCCAGTCAGAATCCTAGGATGTGATCTCTTGAGCCTTGCGTTTTGTTTTCTGAGCCTGGACCTTTTAGTGCGGCGGGAAGAAAGGACATGGCCCTTTTCAGCTTGAGGATGGTTCCAGTTACTTTTGCTGCTCAAACACTGGAAGGGCTGCGCCCTGCCGCTGACCCAGAGATCACAGGGCCCAGGTGCTGCGGCTGGGAAGGAGCAAAGATAAATCCTATGAGCTGGGGTGAGGGATTGCGCTTTAGCCGCCAGAAGCCCAGCAAAGAAGCCAGCACATCCCGCATGGCTCCCCAGGCTCGGGCCGGAACGTTGCGCTGCCGGAACGTTTGTACGCGAGCTTTCCGGAACCCGGAGCGCTAGGATGCTGCACGGCGGCTGGCCAGAGCCCGTTGCCAGGGCGACGCCTGCGAAGATGGCGGCTGCGTCTCCGTTGGATTTCGACGGCGGCAAAGCTGAGAGGTGAAGGCCGAAGTCCTTGCGGCCTCTTTTCCTACAGATGTGAAGAGGGTGCCCCCGGGATCTGGCTCCTGACGTTCTTGAACAGCTAGGGAAACAGGCCCAAGCAGTGTGTCGCGTGCGTGTGTGTGTGTGTCCCGCGGTCAGTGATGGAGCCTGGACTTGGACCCCCAGTTCGGGGCTCCCCACACACCTCACTCTCAGAGACCGGCTCCATCCCTGGGTACGCGCTCTCCAACTCTTTCCCTCCTCTCCCAGCAATGAAGCCAGTTCGAAATGGCTGGATGCGCACTACGACCCCCTGGCCAACATCCACACCTTTTCCGCCTGCCTGGGTGAGTCTGGGGCTGCTGTCCCGGTTCTGGGGAGATGAGTTGTCAGATGACGGTTCTGTAGTGAAGCCGCTGGGCTGATGCCCTGGCTTATGGCTCTTTTGTGTTTTCCAGCGCTGGCAGATCTGCATGGGGACGGGGAGTACAAGGTACGGTATCACCGCCGCAGAAAGAGAACTGGGCGGGTAGCGGGGGGGCGGGGAAATACCAGAATTGACATGTCCCGATGGCCCCAAAGAAGCTCAGCATAATCTGGGTGGAATTCATGAGTACTCTGAAATAGCACATTTAGTGTTAATTTTTTTTATTATTGATTTCAGATGGGGGGGGGAGAGAGAGGGAGAGAGAAACATCAATGATGAGAATCATTGATCGGCTGCCTCCCACACTGGGGATTGAACCTGCAACCCAGGCATGTGCCCTTGACCAGAATCGAACCTGGGACCCTTCAGTCCGCAGGTTGATGCTCTATCCTTTGAGACATGCTGGCCAGGCTAGTGTTAAATTTTATCTTTATGCAGAAGGTGAAGAGGTCCCATAGATTTCATAATACAGAATGCAGAAAGTAAAGCAGAACAAGTGCTGCTGGGCATTTTGCTAAGACAAAGCTTCTTAGTTTTGTTAATTCTTTGCTGGAAGGGCAGGCACCTCCCTTGGCTGGATGTGAGGGCTTAGAATCTGGAGGGGAAGTAGAAGGGAATTGAAGGGACTTTTATGTTTATCAAAAGGACATCGATTTTAAGATTAGCCATGAGCTGATAATGGTTGAAGCTGGGTGATGGGTTCATTATATGAGTCTGTCTACTTTTGTCTGTGACTGAAATTTTTCCATAATAAAAAGGTTGAAATTTAATTTTAAACATAAAAATAGCCCGTTGACCCATGAACCAAGTTGAGGCCTGGGTCGTGGGCTCGATCCCCAGTAGGGGGCATGCAGTAGGCAGCCAATCAATGATTCTCTCAATATTGATGTTTCCATCTCCCTCTCCCTTCTTCTCTGAAATAAATTTTAAAAATGTATATATATTTAAAAATAAATACATAAACATAAAGGTAAATAAAATGTAAACATAGAAATAAATGATTTTAAAGGCACAGGTTTTTATTTTTATTTATTTATTTAGTTCTCACCCCAGAACTTTTTTTTTTTTTTTTTTTTTTTTTAGAGAGAGAGAGAAGGGAAGGGAGAGAGAAAGAGAAACAGTGACTCGTTGCCTCCCGTACATGCCCCGATCGGATGGAACCCGTGACCTCAGTGTACGGGACATGCTCCAACCAGCTGAGCCGCACTGGTCGGGGCCAGGCACAGGCGTGTTTTCTTTTAAAGGTTGGAAGATATATTAGGCCAAAGAAAGGAAGTTAACATATATTAAGTATCCATTTCTGGACTAGACCCTCTTTGAGGCATTTTCACATACGAAGATATTATTGATCCCCATCTTGTTAATGGGGAAATGGATTCAGAGAGGCTAAGTTTACTGAGTTTGTAGAAAGCGGCAGACCTGGGCCTGTCGGATTCTGTTATTTATTTGTTCCACTATATAGCTCAACCTTTGTCCTGGGCTCTGAACCCACAATGGGCGCATTAGGTGGGCGGCTCAAGGATACATGGAAAGTGCGGTAGGATTTGTTGCCTTTTGACCCCAAATTCCTATATGTAATGCACTTAGCAATTCAACAAGCATACAGTGAACCCCTACTGTGTGCCAGCCATTGTGCAGACAGTAAACTCAGAAATGAATCAGTGTACAGTCTGGGGGAGATATAGACTGAACACCTAGTGTGTGCTTGGCATTGAGTTTACAGCAGTGAAGTATGGAGAAATCTGATCTGCTAACAAATGTAAAATGTTCAATGCTTTGGCGTGATGCCTTTTTTAATGACTAGTTTGCTTACTGTTGATTCCCAACATCTAACCCAGCGCCTGGCACAAATCAGGTACTTGATAACTATTTGTGGGGAAATGATGGGTGCTAAAATAGAACATATGGAAAGTATTGTGGGAGCACCAGTGAGAGGATAATGAAAGCTCTCTGGAGGCACCAGGAGGCAGTAACATGTGAACTGCCTTTTGAAGGATGAAGGAAGTATATGAAGAACGCACAGAAGAGAGGAGGGGAGAGCAACCCAGCATCACAAGCAGAGGCACAGAGGCTTGGAAGTTCACAGCATACTTGGAAAGAGGAATTTTGGAGTTAGAAGTTGAGGCCCATGTAAAATAGTAGTTAAGGCCACTGGCTTCGGATTCAGACAGACTAGGTTCCAGTTCCAGGTCTACCACATACGAGCTGTGTGAACATTTACATAATAGCGCTAAGCCACAGCCTTCTCATTTGTGACATGGGGCTAATAATAACACCTACCTCATATGGTGTTGAGAAGATTAAACGGAATTCCTGGCGTGGCTCCTGGTGCATTGTACATGCTCGGAATCCAGACGTTCTGTGGCAGCCCCCATTCTGGCTGGAGCGTAGCATGGGTGCGAAGGTGATGGTAAACAAGTTGGGAGCTAGATCAGAGGGGCCTTGAAGGCCTCGTCAGGAGAATGGGCTTGCATGGCAGCAGCAGTGGCATGGAGTATGGGTTGGAGGGTGAAAAATGAAGACTGGCCCTGTCTCGGCTGGAGCATCATCCTGTACACCAAAAGGTTGTGGGTTCAATTCCCAATCAGGGCACATTCCCAGGTTGCAGGTTCGATTCCAGGTTGGGGCATGTGTGTGGGGGGTGGCCAATTGGTGTTTCTCTTTCACATCAATGTTTCTCTCTCTCATTCTCTTTTTCTCTCCCTTCCTCTCTAAACACATCCTCGGATGAGAATTAAAGAATAACAAAACAAAAAAACAGACTGAAGAGCTTGGTTTTGTTCTCTGCATCCACAGAGCACATTCTGCTCTGCATGCTTGCTTCTGCTTCCTTAGCTCTGTTCCCATTTGGAAGTCAGGCGTCAGAAGCCCAGAGTTTCCAGTGCCCCACTGACCTCGGCCACTGTCCCAGTGTCTAGAATAGTGCCTGGCAGGGAGCAGGCCCTGAAATGTTTACTGAATGAATACTGCAAACATCAGCTGCCACCTACTCCTCACTAGGACTTGCCATGTTCTGTAACTCATTATCTCATTTGATTTTCACTACAAGTGTCATGAAGTTGATAGACCCATTTTGCTGGTGGGAAAACAGGCACAGGAAGTTTACGCAACTTTCCCAATGTCACAGAGCTTGCAAGCCTTAACGCAGAGCATTTGCTATTGGGTGGGAGTGAATGAATGAGTACCAGCAAAAGGACTGAGCCCAAGAAGAGGGTCCGGGGCAAGGTCTTTAGGCCCTGAGCCTGGAGTAAGCTGCCTCTCTTTACAGCTGGTGGTGGGGGACCTTGGCCCGGGCGGGCAGCAGCCCCGCCTGAAGGTGCTCAAAGGACCCAGAGTACTGACTGAAAGCCCACTCCCTGAGCTACCGGCCGCTGCTGCCACCTTCCTCAAGGACCACCATGAGCCCCGAACACCAGCTCTGGCACTTGCTTCAGGCCCTTGCGTGTATGTGTATAAGAACCTTAGGCCCTACTTCAAGTTCAGCCTGCCCCAGTTGCCTGCAAACCCCCTAGAAGAAGATCTTTGGAACCAAGCCAAAGAGGTAAGTGATGTGGGGATGGGAACAAGAAGGCAAAGATGGCAGCCACTGTGGCATCCTTCTCTGCCTGGCTCTGGAGTTCACAGGCTTTCCCTCCTTCCTATGCTGTTATAGGACCGGATCGACCCCGTGACCCTGAAGGAGATGCTGGAAGACATCCGGTGAGAGCCCACCTCCCCTTCCTCCACCTCCCACCCCGCCCTCCTCTCCGACTCTTTCATCCCAGAGCTCTTGGTCTAACCCCAAGGCTGTGTTCCTCAACTAAACCTGCCATGATTGCCCCTATTTGCAGGGAGAAGGCAGAGGTGCCGTTGTCTGTACAGTCGCTCAGGTAAGGGCCCTCTGAGGGCCTGGGCTCTGGCAGCTCCAGGGGGCAGTGAGTGCTGAGTGGCCTGTGGATAGCCAGGCCCGGGGCACGCAGCTGCATGTTCTCTCCAGGTTTCTGCAGCTGGAGCTGAGTGAAATGGAGGCGTTCGTGAACCAGCACAAGTCCAAGGCCATCAAACGTCAGGTAATGCCCCTTGGCTTCATTTCTCCATTAAAAATATGGGTAATTTTTTAACATCAGTGGTAAATTCTACAGCCAGACCTGACTAGTTTCATTTTGCAGTTTCCCTTCCAATCCCGCCACATAGATATGGCCACAAAGCGGCAGGGCCCTCTGCTTTTCCAGTCAAGTGACAGCTCTGGCTTGGCCTGTAGTTATATAACTTTATAGAGCTTTCATTGTCGTGAGGGTAAAGGTAATATGTTCTCATAAGAGAAAATTTGGAAAAGAAAAGTATAAAGGAGAAATAGAAATGACTACAGTCTCACTACCTGAGGTACTTGCTCTTCTTGTTTTGGTACATTTCCTTCATAAATACACTTTTCTATCCTGCTTCCCTTGAGTAACATGACATATTTTGAACATTAAATAATTTAAGAACTATGGTTTTAGTGGCCCTGGATTATTTAATTGATTTTTCATTATGTCATTCAGTGTTTATATAACTAGCCACATGCAACTCATTGAACAAGAAATGTGTCCCTTTTATTCACTTCATAGTTTTTTTCTTAGTTATGCTTTTAATTGCTTTATTGATGAACCTATTCACTGATGAACTCTATTGGCTCCTGACCTGGGGGCTGACCCTTAGTCCAGGGACAGACTCCCAGAGCTGTTCTCTGCATTTTAAAAAGGCCTCATGGGAGCCATGAGGTCACTTGAGCCAAACACGTTGATCAACACAGTCCTCAGCTGTTGGCTAGTCTTAGACCAATTCTGTGAGAAGCATGTTCTCTCTTGCTGGTCAGCAGCTCAGATCCACAGCTGTCAATATCTTTGAGTACTTCTAAAACCAAGAAGTGAATCGTTGCTCAAAAGATTCAGTTTTGGGGCAGAGGGCAAGCTTTCTAATTGTGTCATGGGTACATGATTGGGAGCCACTAAGTTCCATACTTCTATAACCTTTCTCCTTCCACTCAGCTTGTAATCTTAAAGATAATCACACAGCCCTAGCTGGTTTGGCTCAGTGGATAGAGCGTCGGCCTGAGGACTGAAGGGTCCCGGGTTCGATTTCGGTCAAGGGCACATGCCCCAGTTGTGGGCTCGATCCTCAGTAGGGGGCGTGCAGGAGACAGTCGATCAATGATTCCTTCTCATCGTTAATGTTTCTATCTATCCTTCCCTCTCCCTTCCTCTCTGAAATCAATAAAAATATATTGGGGGGGAAAAGATAATCACACAGTGAGCAGCTTTATTCAAAGAAACATTTGGTCCTGCTAAAATATTTCCATAGGAGAAATTCCTAAAAAGGGGTCATCCCCTTCTCTTTTGTTTTCTCTCCGATCACAATGACAAAGGAACATGTGCCCACTGTAGAAATTACAGACAAGCACACTGAGAAATTAAATAGCACCTGTGAGCTTGTTGTCCAGAGATAACCAGTCTTAGTATTTAAGGCTTTAGCCTTTCAGCATGTTTTTCTATTCATTTTTAAAAACTGAGATTATACTAATGTAACTTTTTACCTATTTTTTCTCTTAATACATTAGAAGTATTCTCCCTATCTTTGAATCTTCTTTTAAAATGTGATTTTTTAAATGACTGCATGGTTTAGGATCATATGGATAGTGCATAATTTACTTGGACCAGTGATGGCGAACCTTTTGAGCTCCGTGTGCCAGCATTTTGAAAAACTCTAACTTAACTCTGGTGCCGTGTCACATATAGAAATTTTTTGATATTTGCAACCATAGTAAAACAAAGACTTATATTTTTGATATTTATATGCCATTTAACAAAGAAAAATCAACCAAAAAAATGAGTTCACGTGTCACCTCTGACACACGCGTCATAGGTTTGCCATCACTGACTTAGACAATCTTCTTTTGTTAGAAAGTTAGGTTTGTTGCACTAAACACCTTTGTACATAAATCTTCTTTTGCCTCTCTATACTCTTCCTCCTGTTTTATCCTCTTTCTTCCCTCCTGTGGTGTCTTTGGGGTGAATGGGGAGAATGGTGTGTGGGGATCCGGACTGACCCGTGGAGTCCTTCTGCAGACAGTCATCACCACCATGACCACCTTAAAGAAGAACCTGGCTGACGAAGATGCTGTGTCATGCTTGGTGCTGGGCACTGAGAACAAGGAGCTCCTGGTGCTGGACCCAGAGGCCTTCACCACTTTGGCCACGGTCAGTGTGGGGCCTGAAACAGCACACCCGAGGCCCAGGCTGCAATCCCTCCCTCTGTCCCCCCACATCTCCTGCTCCCAGTTCTTGGTAATACATGAAAAATTATAAAATATAGATAAGCATAAAGAAAAAATATATAAAGAAATCCCACCACTCACAGACATTTACCATTAAAGTTTCATCATATGTCTTTCCTGACATTTTCATATTTAGACATAGATATATAACTATATATATATTTTTTTACAAAAATGGCCTTGTGGTACAGGATCGTATAACTTGCTCTTTTCACATAGGAGTAGCTCATCAGTGTCTTTCCACATCTATATAAAACCACGTCCTCCTTTTCAAAGGCCTCACAGTATCCATTTCATAGATTCACCACATTTATTTACCCCGTCACCTATTGTGGGTTTAAGTTGTTTTCCAATAGTAGTTTTCACTATTAACACCACTGCAGTGGGCATTCTTGCCCAAATGTCTTTGCATGCTTGTCTAAATATTTCCTTAGGCCGCATCCCTAGAAATGGCGTAGTTTAGTCAAAGGCTTGTGCTACACGTTGCTCAGTTTCCCTCCAGAAAAATTGTACGAGTTTAAACTGACCAGCTGGGTATGCGTGAGGAAGTTGGGATTTCAGATCAAGAGGAGTCAGTCCCTTCAAGGTAGGGAAGGACTGGGGCTCCAGAGAAATGGGATGTTTGAGCCTCTTCTTCGCAGATGAACCTACCCAGCGTCCCCGTCTTCCTGGAGGTTTCTGGCCAGTTCGATGTGGAGTTCCGGCTTGCCGCTGCCTGCCGCAATGGGAACATCTACATCCTGAGAAGGTAGCCACACGTGGTCTCGTTCCAGAGGGAACATCTCAGATACCTGGCAGTTTCTGGGGTTTGCAAGACAAGCAGGGGGCTTGGGGCTGGAATTGGGGAATGGAAAGAGCTGAGACGTGCACATAGGAGGCTGAACCAGGAGCACAGGGGGTATCTGGAGGCTTGTGTGATGGGGGTTGGCGAAGTGAGAGACCAGCTGGGTGGCTGGAGCACGTGAGCAATGCAATCAGAAATTGGAAGAAATAAAAATAGTCTCTCACATGTGTTCTATTGTTTTATAGGTGTGAGACACTTTGCAGCGGGTAGTTTGATATTCCTTACAACATTCATTTTTTTAATTGAGAGATGTTTTTGAGCACCTACTTAAGCATTGTATAAGGTATTGATGAACAAAATGAACACAGTTCCTACCCTTATGGGAAGATAGATATTAAAGTCAACAAACCAAGATAATATTGCAAATTGGATACATGCAGTGGAGGGAAAATACAGGCTCAGTGGGAAGAAATAATGGGATCAAGGTGGTCAGCAAATGCCTGTCTGTGGAAATGACGTGAAGGTGAGGAAGGGGCCAGTTTGTCACAAAGTGCAGGAGGAGTGTTGTTGGCAGAGGGAACTAAGAACCTCAGGTGGGGAGACACTGGCATGTGCTGCTCAAGCGAGGTGGGCATGGAGGAGGGTAGGCAGAAACGACGTGAAGACCAGGTTGGCTCATGCAGGACCCATTAGGATGTGGTCAAGATTTTGGGTTTTATCTGAAGTCTAGTGGAAAGCTGCTGTGGGATTTTACTCAGAAGAATGACATGATCCATTTACACATTTAAAAGATTACTCTGCTGGATGGAGGGTAGATTGGCAGGAGGCCCAGGGACCGGTGGGAGGGTCTCAGCTGGGACATGACGTTGACCCAGACTTGGTGATGAAGAAAATGGGCCATAGCCTGTGATTGGTAGGCAGGAACTACCCCTACTTTCTGGGTAAGAGAAACAGATTCAGCCCTAGCCGGTTTTGCTCAGTGGATAGAGTGTCAGCCTGTGGACTGAAGGGTCCCGGGTTCGATTCCAGTCAAGGGCACATGCCTGGGGTTGTGGGCTTAATCCCCAGTAGGGGGCGTGTGGAAGGCAGCCGATCAATGATTCTCTCTCATCATTGATGTTTCCATCTCTCCCTCTCCCTTCCTCTCTGAAATTAATAACAATATATTTTTTAAAAGAGAGAGAAAGAGATTCAGAGGTCAGGACATGGAAGCAGTGCAATTACACAACAACTCCGAGCTGTTCTGATAAATTACTGAAGTGCCCAAGTCCACTGGCACTACATCTGGCCCCACTCACTGTAAACGGTCAAGTGCCAGGTCATCACACAGATCCCTGTAGTGAAGGTGGGAGGGAGGCCAGGAAGGAGGACACACTTCATGTTCCTCAAGGTCACACAGCTATTAAGAGGTACAGGTGGGAAGAATACCATGGTCCTCTGCTTTGGGGCCAAGATTCCTTCCAGGATAGTCTATGGGGCTTAGAAAGAGGAGGGTAAGCCAGGGAGAGAGAGAGGGTTTCTCTGGGCTAGGAGAGTCTCTCTACTCCACAGAGACTCCAAGTGCCCCAAGTACTGCATCGAGCTGAGCGCCCAGCCTGTGGGGCTTGTCCGGGTCCACAAGGTCCTGGTGGTGGGCAGCAACCAAGACAGCCTGCATGGCTTCACCCACAAGGTATGGCCTCCGGGCAAGCACCCACCCCCACCCCTCCATGCATGTCTCCCAGGTCCCCTTCCCAGCAATTCTAGCCACCCCCTCTGTCCATTCTAACCCCTAAGACCCCTGCAGACACCTGGCTATTCCCTCCCAGGGTAAGAGGCTGTGGACGGTGCAGATGCCTGCAGCCATCCTGACCATGAACCTCCTGGAGCAGCATTCCCGGGGCCTGCAGGCCGTCATGGCCGGGCTAGCCAATGGAGAGGTCCGCATTTACCATGACAAGACCCTGCTCAATGTCATCCGCACCCCGGTGAGCCCTGACTCCTTGCCTCACTCCCACCTCAAGGGCAGCTTAGCTGCCTCCTGATTCCACTCTATCCACTGCCCTTGACTTTTAATGCATTTCAAAAACATTTGTTCAAAAACATTTGTTCAAAAACATTTGTTGAGCACTTCATATGCACAACTCATTGTATTGAGGGTATAAAACAATGCTAGACCCTTGCCTTCAGGGAGCTTAGTATCCAAGGTGACAGCAGCCAAAGACAACGGATTCAAACAAAAGGCAGGCAGACACAAAGTGCTGGAAAAGCAGAGCGGGCTGAGTATCGGCGGAGAACAAATGGGGATGGAACTCAGGGATGAGAGGCGCGCGTGCTCTTGGTTAGGGAAGCCAGGGAGTTCGATGAATTCGGAACAGAGTTTTTCCAACACTAAGTTGTGAGTCATTAAGTCACTTTAATGGGTCACAACCAGCAACATCAAATCCAGTGTATATCACACGTGGAACTTGTGTGTGTGTGTGAATGTGTAAGGTGTCCTATGCCACAATAGAAGATTTGAGGGCAGGTGTTGTGTGTTGGGAGAAGGTAAAGAGTAAAGAGTTGACAGAAAAGGTGGGCTAGAGTCACATGTGGAAGGGGGACAGGGAGTCTAAGAGCCATGGGAGGTTTTCTAGAAGAGAGTCAACATGATCACGTTGGTTTTGAGAGGCAGCAGAGGCAGCTGTGAAGGACAGACGGGGAGAAAGACTGTTCTGGGAAGCCTGTTAGGAAGCTGACCCCACAAGCCCGGGGATGTTTAGTCTGGAACGATAGCCGTGGCAGAGAGGTTGGAGGGAGATGAGAACAGAGGAGCTATTTCAGAGGCAGCACTGCCCCAGGCCTCGCCTCCCATCTCACCTGTTATGGCATATCTGGGGACCCCCAACCTTACCCCTCTCCCGCAGTCTTGCTCTCCTCTCCAAGATATTTTCCTAAATAAACTCGAGTGTCTGCACCGTAGGATGCAGTGACCAGCCTTTGCTTTGGCCGCTTCGGGCGGGAAGATAACACCCTCATCATGACGACGCGAGGTGAGGGGTGTCGGACCTGCAAGGGTGTTCGAGTTAGGAGTGAAGGGAACAGGCCAGCCCTGGGAAGGAGAGAAGGTGGACGGGAGGCACGGGAGGATGTGGGTGTGGAAAGCAAGGCTGGCAGACACGGCACAGCTCATCAGCGGTTTGACCCGGTGACCTCAGGGCCAGGCCCTGGGCTGGATTGTGTCTCCGGTTCACCCAGCATCCCCAGCGCCTGCCACACCAGGAACATCAAAGTGCTCCACAAGTAACTGAAATGAATGAAATAACTAATGGTAGGAGGGTGTTTAGACAGACTTCACCCCTTCCAGAAACGCAGTCTCAGCAGCAAGACAGACATGTACAGAGATGAGGCGGATGGTTTGGGGAAGAGAGATTGGAATGTAGTGTGACTGGGGAAGTCACATCTGTTTCTGGCTGTCCACTTCCCTAGGTGGTGGCCTGATCATCAAGATCCTGAAGCGCACAGCAGTGTTTGTGGAGGGGGGAGGTGAGCTGGGCCCCCCACCAGCCCAGGCCACAAAACTCAGCGTGCCCCGAAAGACGCGGCTTTATGTGGACCAGACGCTGCGAGAGCGGGAGGCCGGCACCGGTGAGACTCAGGCCAGGCCCTTCCTCTTCCTCTGCTGTTCTGAATTCAAGCAGCATCAGCCAGGGAGCTGTGGGTGTGGGGCAGGGAGGCCGAGAGGCCAGAGGGGAGGCTGGAAAGGCCGTCAGAGCCTGCTTCGAAAGGGCCTGGAACGCAAAGCTAAGATGTTTTTGTTTAAGTTGGGATGCCGTGGCGGAGGAAGGGAAATGAGCTTGGTGTCTGCATCACTGAATCTGAGGGGTTGATGGTGCATCCAGGTGCAGGTGGCCATTAGGCAGTTAGAAGCAGGAGGCTGCCCCAGGTGCTGAGCTGCTGGAGACGCCCTGTCAAGTGTGGACATGGGCCAGGCCCTGAGGTGGGCACCGAAGGCCCAGCAGGCACGCGTCCCTCACAGTTGTTCCTCTTTGGAGTGGTCACGGCCAGGGCCAGACATGGGTTGTCCACGGGAGGAAGACAGAGGAGAAGAGGACCAAGGACAAGACTCCAGGGAACACCAGTGCTTATGGTGGAATGGAAACAGCCAGCAAAGGACCCTGAGATTGTGCGGGCAGCGAGGTGGTAGAACCAGGAAGAGGAAGCAGGAAATAGTCCAGCATCCAGTGTCATTAGAAGGCTGGACTGGTGGACCTTGGCCCTCCTTTTCCCCACCTCCCCAGCCTCTGCAGACCCTGCCCCCTGTACCTTCATCTTGCACTCTCCCCGCCCCCTGCACCCACCCCCGCCTCCCCTCCCCACCTCCAGTGTCAGCACTCTGTCTCCTCAGCCATGCACCGGACCTTCCAGACCGACCTCTACCTGCTGCGCCTCCGGGCCGCCCGTGCCTACGTGCAGGCCCTTGAGTCCAGCCTGAGCCCCGTGTCTGCGACAGCCCGGGAGCCACTCAAGCTACACGCTGTGGTGAGCACCCAGGTGTCGGGGGAAGTCAGCAGCCTCAGGGCTGGAGAGGCAGAGATTGGGGTGGGTGGGAGCCCTGCCTCCCCAGAGCCAATTCCAAGTCAACTAGGCCCCGTGCCCCTTCTCACCTTCCCACAGGCCCAGGGACCAAGTCCTCCTTTGTGAGAGCGTGCTCACCTTCTCTCTCCTGGGCTGCCTCTGCCCCGTGCTGGCCACACAGGGACACTCTCCAGCTCCCTCATTCCAAGTTGTGCTCAGAAAAGCCCCAGACTTGGGGCAGGGCACACAACTCCTCGCCTTGGGATTTTTCTTCCCCGGAGCCTGGAGGGACTCTTCCCGCTATGGTACCGGGAAGAAAGCTGTTCATTTCAGTAACTGCCTGAGGCTTGCACAGGCACCCACACACAGGTGGCCTTAAGGTCATCAGGGCTCCAACCAGCTCTCAGTAGGTCCCTGGGGGGTGCCATCTGTCCCAACTGGGCTTCTGACTTCTCTTTCCCTAAAGAAAGTGGATAGATAGAGGAAGAAGCTACAGAGCAACCGAGGGTAAGAGGGAGGAAAATGAAACCATTTCAGCCGCCGCAGGATGAGAGGGGAGGTGGGCCAAGCTCTAGGCAGAGGGTCAGGGGCAGTGGTTGAGGACTCGGGTAGGAGCTGGGACTTGTATCCCGAGGCCAGCTCTGCCTCTGACCCAACTTGCCGAGTGGCCTCTCTCAAACCTCTTCCCGGCCCTGGGCCTTGGCTGATTCCTGTACCCACAGGAGCCAACCTTCTGGGCGTTTTGGGAGGCAGGTGGACAGTGAGCTAGAATAGCTGGAGGAGGATGACTTGAGGACACTGATGAGGAAGCAGGGCTGGGGCACACCGTGCCCCACGCCCAAGGCCGCTAGGTCTACCCACTCCACCCTCTCCACAGGTTCAAGGCCTGGGCCCCACCTTTAAGCTCACACTGCACCTGCAGAACACCTCGACAGCCCGGCCCATCCTGGGGCTGCTGATCTGCTTCCTGTACAACGAGGCACTCTATGCCCTGCCCAGGGCCTTCTTCAAGGTAATTTGACAGCCTCCTGAGACATGGAAAGGTGGGGAGCGGGGGGCTGATTAAATGCCCACAGAGCCTCCACCCGGTCAGAGGCGAGGGCTGGCAGGGGCTGCAGCCACAGTTAGGCTAGGGCACAACAGGGCCTCCGGGGAGAGCACCCAAGACCTGCCTCAGCTGCCCCACTTCCAGCCTGCGAGAGTCTCAGAGCCACGCAGCCGGTGCTGGAGAACAGCCATGCCAGGCCCTCCTGTGCCTCTCCCAGAAGCCTGTCGGTCCTGCAGTAGCTCTGGGAGCCTGTCTGCCTCAAGGAGAATCTTCCGGAGTGAAGGTCCTGGTTTTCCCCTGGCATGAGGGCTGATTTCCTAATGTCTTTGTCCCCAAACTTAGGTTCCCTTGTTGGTGCCTGGGCTCAGCTACCCCCTGGAGACCTTTGTGGAGAGTCTCAGTGACAAGGGCATCTCAGACATTATCAAGGTAGGTGGCTGTTGGTACTGTGTGGGGAGGACGGTGGGAGTGCGTGTGGACAAGGTCCCCAGGTGGCTGCCGGCTGGGGCTGGGTATCTGCACCGTGGCCTGTCATTAGGGCCAGTGCAGACCAGGCCAGGCTTGGCCGAGCAGGGAGGAAGGGCTCCAGGGGGCAGGACCCTATTGCCAGGAGTACCTCCTCCACAGGTGCTAGTGCTTCGAGAAGGCCAGAGCGCACCCCTGCTGAGTGCCCATATCAACATGCCTGTGAGCGAGGGGCTGGCAGCTGCCTGACCCCTGGACTGGAATTAAAGCCCCTGCGGAATGGGACCAGGAAGATCCAGCCCCTTTCACTGACTGGGCAGAGGCAGTGGCCAGCCTGCTCCCCGCGCAGCAGGTGCTGGGCCACAGCGTCCCTCTCCCCTCCTAAGCTCCCCGTGCTCGCCATCCGACCGCTGGTGACCTACAGCAGCAGGTCAGTGACAACCCAGGAGGTTCAGCGCCTTTCCTCTCAGGAAGGTGCAGGCGCCGGCTCACTGGGCTCCTGCTGCTCCTCTGTCCTCCCCACTTTCCTCCAGAGACCACACCCAAGCCCAGAGGAACAGCTCTGACACAGTCAAGGTGAGATGAGGGGCACGGCTCACCTTCTCCTTTGCCGCTCCCCTTAGGCACAGCGCCCATTGCTGCTGCTGGCCCAGCCAGAGGTGGCTGGGGCCTGGCCTGGGACAGTCAGAGGCTTTACTGGGTGAGACTGAACCCCCTGTTGCTCCCTGGGGTTCCAGAGGCTTAGCTGCTGCCAGTTCAGCTTGAAGCAAAACACATGCTCTGACCTCCCCTCGTGAGCTGGGCAGGGGCCCTTCTTCCTATTCGGGGGCCCTAAGTATAGCTGCCTCCCCACAGGGGGCTTTTCTGAAATCTTGGGCTCAGTCAAGGTCTCAGGCCCGTGATGCTCCATGCAGAGGGCATGGGGTGAAGACAGCACAGGCACTGCTCCCGACAGGATGCTTGGGTCCAGAATGTACACCCAGGAGAGCAAGGCTCAGGTCGACGGAGCAGAGAGGGTGCTGGGGGGCACAGAGGGGCATTTCTGGGGCTCTGGGGAGGTGGCACAGGAGGCAGAATCCCAGAATTGCCCATCAAGATGCGCTTCAATGCCCTGGAGCCCAGAGCAGCCATGTGAGTGGAAAGTTCACCGGGCAGTGGCCATAGTGTGAGGGAATTCGCTGCAAAGGCATGGACCAGAGGCTCGAGTGAGTCAAAAGGCTGAACAAAGGCACATGTTTAGCCCACAAGAACCAGAGACCCACAGTCCCGGCCCTCTGTGCCTCACAGCCCTGGCCAGTCTGCCTGGCCACCTCTCGGCATTCTGGGGTGCCACTCCTGACACAGGAGCCCCACTCCCAAGCCAGGGGCCCCACTCCCGGAGGACCTACATCTTCCCCTCTCTGAGCAGGAGCAGCCCGATGTGTGGGGACAGCTCAGGGTTGTAACCCAATCCCTGGGGACCTTAGTTTCCCCTTGTGTAAAATGAGGCAGTTTGACCGGCTTCCGCTCTAAAAATCCTATGAGCTCGGCAGCCCCTCTAGAGGAAGTGAGTCGGCTCCAGAAAAGGGGATACTTGACAGGAATAACTGCAGAGACTTTGCCCTGAGGCTGAGGGCCCCAAGCTGACGGCCACTGCCAGGCAACAGCCTCTGTGCCCAAGACACAGTGAGGGACTGGGGTGACAGCCACAGCCAAATGGTTAAGACAAGCAAGGGGTCTAGACAAAAAAGAGCCCATCCCCCTCTCTGTACAGTCCACACGCGCAGACATGGACCAATTGGGAGAGGACGGTGAAGGGTTCTGGATCAAAGCAACTGATGTGCAGGGGGAACACACAGGAGGTTTCACCTGGAAATGGACAGACAGGGAGAGGGCGTTGGGGCACAGCAGGGTCACTGTCAGAGGCTTAGCTTAACCTGAAGAGCTTTCTCAGGGAGCTTATCCGACAAGGAAGCGCCTGCCCTAGAAGGTGTAGCCCCTTGTCACTGGCGCTGTGTCCTGCGGGCTGGGCTACCACCGCTCAGGTGGCTGTGTTGAACCAGATGACCTTACAGCTCCTCTCACCCCAGTCAAGTGATGAACTGTGTGAACTCGGAACAAAAAGGTCTGCTCTGGGTTCCATGGCTATTCATGACGAAAGCGGAGAAACTGCTCCTAGGCCCAGCAACCAACGTGAGTTTATATGATGGACTACCATGTGCTGTCACTAAAAACACATGAACTGCGGTGATGTGGACAGTGTAAGTGAAGCAAGAAGCAGTGCGCGGGACCCAGGGCCTCACTAGTCAGGACTCCGGGAAATTGTGTACATTAAGGAGGAGAGTTGGTGCCTGTAAAAAGAATGTTTATCTAAAAACACGAACCTGCTTAGTACTATGGAATTAGGCCGTAAGAAGAAAAGCGTCTCCCCACCCCAGCACTGCTCCCCTGCTAGTCACTTGCAGGCATCTTAGCTGTTTATTTTTGTAACATGCTTACACGGGTCTTGCTCGATTTGTCAATCTCAGACACTGTCTGCTGGCTCCCTTTCCTAACAGATGAGGGACACCATCCCTTCCTTGTCTTTCCAGTTTGTAGGTGAATCAATATTCAGTTTGGATTACAATTTATATTATGATGTGAAACTTATTCACTGTGAACCAAGAATTGGGCTATAATTAAATTACCTTTTGAGTACCATTACCTTTTGTTTTTCATGGAATTAATAATTACCGTTTTTTTCCTTTGCTTAGTTTTCTGTGCTAATTCTCCCCCTGCTGGGTCTGACCGTTCCTTTTTACTGGACACTTGCCTCCATCCGGGGGCAGCGGGCTAGAGGGCTCCAGAGCTGCTGCAGAGCACGTCTCCCGGTTCCCTTTGCCGTGCCCTGGGCCAGCACCCAATCCCTGGGCCCCGGGTCTTCCTCCTCCATCATCTGTACCCTCATCTGGTGAAGCATATCCACAGCTACTTTCTTTAAAAAACCACTAGAGTTAACATTTTTAAGGCGCTATTTGTCTGAAATTTTCTCTTTTTAAAAAATATCTTTTTATTGATTTTGGAGAGGGAGAAATAGAAATATCAATGATGAGAGAGAATCATTGATTTGCTGCCTCCCCCCCCCCCCCCCCCCGGCCAGGGAGTGAGCCCCCAACCTGGGCACATGCCCTGACTGGGAATTGAACCGTGACCTCCTGGTTCATAGGTCAATACTCAACCACTGAGCCACGCCAGCCAGGCTGAAATTTTCTTTATTCAATTCATACATATATATGATAGTTTGGGTCGTAAAATTTGACATTGAGAATCCTTTTCATGCAAGAACAGCATTTTTAGGCAGTGCTCCCATTACTTTTTATTTTGTAATGCTGTTGAGAAGTCCCATGCTCCGTTTGCTCCTGGCCTCCTCTCTCTGAGGCTCTGAAATGTCAGGACACACCTTACTCTGTGTCAGTATTTGTTGTGCTGTGGGTAGAGATGTGCATCCTTCAGTTCTGGAAAATTCCCTCCCATTTTCTCTGTTCTCTCTTGAATTCGGATGAGGCCCGGCATCTGTTAAATCCAGAGAGAACAGGATTGATCCTCTCATTTTCTTCTCTCTTCTCTTATTGTCTTTTTATTCTGTTTTTGAGAGATTTTTCTCTTCCAGCTCTTCACTGAAATTATTTTTAAAATGCTATTATTTTCTCAACTCTTTTTGTCCTCTGTTCAATCGTTGATCGTGATGTCTTTTCAAGGAGCTCAACACCACCATCAGTCAACTGGATATAACCGACATCTCTAGACTGCTTCCACTGAGCAGAACACACATTTTCCTGAAGTACATGGACATTCACTGAGAGAGACCACATTCTGAGCCACAGAAAACACATTCACAAACTTAAAATAATGAAATCATACAATGTCTGCTATCAGATCAAATGGAATTAACTGGAAAATTCAATTTCATGCAGATGTTGATTTCCCCAAAACTGATCTATAGATTCAGTGGGTTCCATTCACAATCTCAAAGAGGTTTGTACTGTTGGAACTTGATAAGCTGATTCTAAAATCTACATGAAGCACAAGGACCAAGAATAGATCATAGGGGATCATACACAGTGGGGCAAAATAGAAAAATAAATTGTGGTATATTCAAAGGGTCACCATACAGCAAGGAGAAGGAATGCCCTACAGCTGCACACACTTAGACAAATCTCAGAAACAATGAGTGAAAAAGCAAGTCACAGAAGAATAAACATGATACAGTTCCATTTATATAAAATTCAAAACACGCAAAACCAATACAAATGTAATAAAATTACAAAGCAAAGCCAGAGAGTGATTAAGACAGTAGTGTGTCCTCTACCAGGGAGGGGCACCGTAGGGACGTCAAAGGAAATGGTATCCATTTCTTAAGTTGGGTGGTGTTGTTTCTCTTTAGAAATATTTTCTTGCATCTCCTTTTAACTAAAAAAACCTCACACACACACACAAAAAAGATACTCTGGAGGAGGGGTAAACAGAGGAGGGAGCAGGCGGTTTGCAGTGCCCATGTCACAGGAGAGCACCCTCGCAAGCAGCATCTGTAGACGTTCACTTCACCCCATTTTTGGTGGAAAATATTCCACGTTGCTCATGGAATTTCCTGAGCATCTGCAGGTTCTGGGAGGCAAGTTGGCTGCCTCTTGGCCCCTCCCTCTGGGAACACAATTTCATTCTCTACTTCTCTGCCAAGAGAGTAAATGAACCTCCATTCACTTTCCATCTTTTAAAACTCCAGGCTCTCTGGTCTACTGCTGTCTCCTGCCTATTTTCTTTCTCCTTGTAAACATATATTTTTTCTTTACTATCATTTCAGATTTGAAGAGGAAAGAGGTACACTGATGTGCTTAAAACCTGTCACATTTAATTAGTTACTAGATTTAAATGAAAAGGTTTAGTAAGTAGCTCCTGAACAGTTCCAAGAGGAGTGTAGCCCTGTCAGCACCACCTGTCACAGATGCTTGAAGGAGAAAGCACAAAGATCTGGGTTCAAATCCTGACTCCTCCATTTACTACCCCATGAACTGATCACATAAACTCTCAGAGCCTTAAGTTTTCTATCCACATAATTGTTGTTCAGTGTATCAGGTTAGCTAGAGAGGGGTTCAATGAAATTGCTGATGTGGGAATACTTCTAACTCTAAAGCAATGAACCTGGGAAAATATTTTAAATGTGCCCTGGCCAGGTTTGCTCAGTGGATAGAGCATCAGCCTGCGGACTGAAGGGTCCTGGGTTTGATCCTGGCCAAGGGCATATACCTCTAGTTGCAGGCTCCTCCCTGGCCTGGGCCCTAGTTGGGGCTCGTGCAGGAGGCAACCGATCGATATGTCTCTCTCACATCGATGTTTCTCTGTCTCCCACTCTCTAAAAATCAATGGGAAAATATTCTTGGGTGAAGAAGAAAAACAGAATTTTAGATGCTCATGCCCCGGATCAGTACATGCCACCGTGGCCACTGGTCTCCCACCCCATCCCACCGCGGCCACAGAGGCAGAGCCCTGGCTCCTCAGGTGGTCAGTGGTTCCCAGACGTGACAATCAGAGGAACCTGAAACAGCAGCTGGGCAACAGTGAGGGACCAGAAACCCACAAAGCTGGAGGGAATCCAAGAACCAAGTGGGCGCTTTATTAATCTGGCAAAGGGGCAGCTGGGTTGGCCAAGCAGCCCCTTGCCAGACCCTCCACTGCACTCGGGGGCCACTGACAGAGGCAGACTCACAGGGCCCACGCCCTGGAGACTGAGTCCAAGCTGGGCAGGGGCAAGGCCAAGGATGGGGCTGGAGTTGCCGAAAGCAGACATTAAGTACCAACCTGCCTCTCCTCCTGAGGCCGGGGGTGGGCCTGAAATGAATTATGAGCCCCTTCACCCCTCCTCCCTCCCTCTACAGCTCTGGCTCTTCCTGGAGTCAGGAAGCCACCAGTCCCACATCAGCTGTGGTCTGGAAGGTGATCCCGTCCCCAGGCAACGGGGAGGCCAGAAAGGGCCAGAGCCAGACAAGGATCCAGCGGGGACCCAGGGCTGCCTGCAGGTTATGGCAAGGACCCAGGTCATAAAGGTGCTGGCCCCGCGCCCATTCCCAGGTGGTCTGGCCCCGAAGCAGCAGCATCCCATGGAAGAGCAGCCCAGCCCCGCAGAACAGGGCACCCGCCACACACGTGTCGGTCACGAAGGCCAGCGCGAACTGCGCCAGAGACACTCTGCCTGCAAGGAGAGAGCAGACGGGATCAGGGGGCAGCAGCAGGCCCAGTCCCCCAAAGCCCAGCTCCTGCCCTCCAGCCACCCCCTACCTCCACCATGAAGCAGAGTTCATTCCTCCCCCAGCAGTGAGTCTCTGTTCCCTAGCCGGCCCCTGCTGGGTGATGGGAACACAGCAGTGACCCAGGCAGACACAGTCCTCTCTCTACCTTAGGTATGACTTTCATTCATGCATCCCAAATGTTTGAGCACTTCCCATGTGCTGGACATGGTGCCAGGCACCGCAAATATCAGAATGAACCTCTGACCTCAGGGAGCTCACAGACATTCATGAGGTCCCTTCTCAGTTATTTAATTACAGCTGTACTGTGTGCTACACTGGAAAAGTAGAGCGTGTCTCTGTGGAGGCCTCCTGCAGGCTTTATCCTGGCCCACAGTCGGTCACAAGTATCTGCTGAACTAAGAACTACAGGACAAGGGTACAGAGGGGACTGTGGGTATAGAGGTCAAGAGGAAGGAGGCAGGGGAGAGAAAGCCCAGAGCATTTGGGGGGGGGGGGGGGCGGGGACAGAGTATAAAAGACCAGTGGGGCTTTTATCTTGGGTGGTAACAGAAGAAAGAGAAATAAATGTCATCCAGAACTTTGCCTCTCAATCAACCTCTTGATCCAAGTCTTCCCCTGCCTGTAACTTTCACTGGCTCCCCACTGCCCAGGCAAGTGAGGGCCATCTCTTCACACCAGCATTCAAGGCCTCCACCATCCAGTCCTAACCTACTGTCCTGGCCTTAATTCTCACAATTCCCATCCAATTGCCTTTGCTGCTCCCTGCTCAACATCCAAGGCCTCGATTAGAATGGTCCCCTTTAGAATACTCCCCCAGTGACCTTCCCCCAGTGACCTCCCCAGTCTTTCCTCCTCGGCCAACACCTCCTAGAATCCTTCCCTAATTCTCCCAGGCAGATCTCTGTACCTGTGTTCAAGCACTGTATTTTACCATATCCAGTTGAATACCAGGCTGTCCTCACCACCAACCCCAATAAATGATACTGGGACTGGGTCCCCAGGGCATTGCTAGGGACTGGCCACAGCCCCATCTCCCACCAGAATGGCCACTACTAGGCCCTCTGCCTCTCTGTGGAGGCCTCCCTGGCTCCCACCTGTGAGCAGCATGAGCCAGGGCAGCAGGAGGAGGGCAGCGGTGTGGAGGGGCGTGTGGGCTTGCAGCAGAGCTGCCAGGGCAGGGCCCAGCAGCACAGAGACGTGAAGCAGGACGCCCGCGCCATGAAGCAGCAGGCACAGGAAGGGCCGGTAGTTGTGAAAGCCCACGCAGCGGCCCAGCAGGCGGCAATGGTGATCCCGACGCAGGATGCAGACGCGGCAGGCAGAGCAATGTCCGCTACGTGGCGGCACCTGGCTCTGGCACTGGTAGCAGTAACTGCAAGGAAGAACCACAGAGTCAGTTCCCCCAGCAGCTCTGGGTGCCCCGTCTCATGCCTGTGAGCCCGTCCTGGGAAAGCAGAGGTTGCCCTTGCTAAGCCTCAGGTTATCCATAGGTAAATGCAGGCTGAACACCACTTCCCAGCCCTCCCAGTTCTAGCACTGCAGGTCTGAGGTCACTTCCAGCTCTGACATCCTTAGTCCTAAGGCCTTTCTCTGGCTCTAACATCCAGGAGCAAACTTCTGCCTTCCTCCACAGTCACCATGAACTCTCACCTGGATTATGGCAACAACCTCTTGACTAGTTATCCTGACTCCACCTTTGCCCCCTCCTAGAGTAGTCTCACCCCAGCACTGATCCTTAAAAATCCAAGTCATGCCCTAGCTGGTTTTGCTCAAGTGGTTAGAGCGTCAGCCTGCAGATTGAAGGATCTTGGGGTTCAATTCCAGTCAAGGGCACATACCTCTGTTGTAGGCTCAATCCCCAATCCCGGTCAGGGTACGTGCGGGAGGCAACCAATTGATGTGTCTCTCCCACATTGATGTTTCCCTCTCTGTCTCTCCCTCTCCCTTCCACTCTCTAAAAAATCAATGGGGGAAAAAAATCCTTGGATGAAGATTAACAACAACAAAATCTAAGTCATGTTCCTCCTCTGCTCAAAACCTTCCAATAGCACCCTGGCCAGTGTGGCTCAGTTGGTTGGAGCATCGTCCCATGCATGGAAGGGTCTTGGGTTCCATTCCCAGTCAGGGAACATACGGAGGTTGTGGTTTCGATTCCCAGTCAGGCATATATGGTAGGCAACTGATTGATATTTCTCTTTCACATCAATGCTTCTCTCTCTCTTGTCCTCTCTCAGCCTGTCTCTCTAAAATCAATATTTTAAAAATATATTTTATTGATTTTTTACAGAGAGGAAGGGAGAGGGATAGAGAGTTAGAAACATCGATGAGGGAGAAACACCGATCAGCCCGCAACCAAGGTACATGCCCTTGACTGGAATCGAACCTGGGACCCTTCAGTCCACAGGCTGACGCTCTATCCACTGAGCCAAACCAGCTAGGGCTCTCTAAAATCAATTAAACACACACACACACACACACACACACACACACACACACATATCATCAGGTGAGGATTAAAATAAATCTTATAAAACAACAACCCTGCAATGGCTCTCCATCTCACTTCCAGTAAAAAGCAAAGCCTTCAATGTCCTACTAGGTCTTTACATGTCTAACCTCTCTCCTCCCCTTCTCACTCCACGTTGGCCTCACTGGTCTTCTTGATGTTCCTGGAACATGCTAAGCACATGACTGCCTCGGAGCCTTTATGTTGTCTGTTCCCTCTGCCTGGAACACTCTTCCCCCAGATTCCCACATGGCTAACTCCCCCACCTTCTTCAAGTCTTTGCTTAAATGCCACCTTCTTAATGAGGCCTACCTTGTCCACCCTATTTAAAACTGCAACTTGCACCCCTTCTACCCTGCTCTACATTTTGTGTCCATACCACCGTCTTCTAACATTCTATATAATTTATTGATTATGCCTATAGTTTACCTGGTATATAGTAGGTGCTCGGTAAAATTTGTAAGTGAATAAGTAATACCCCTAGCTCTCCCATCCAGGTTCTAAATGAGTTCTCTGGTTCTAACAGGCAGACCCTAAAGAATCTGGTTCTAACATCTTCAGGTCCCAAGGCCCCGCCCCCTGTCCAAGGCTCCCGCTACACCGCCGAATCCCGTGCCCCACTCACGCCCAGCCCTGGCCTAGACCGTGGCCGGCCAGCATCACGCCCCGGATGCTGGGATCCGAACACAGGAAGAGCCCCACGTTGCCCAGCAGGTTAAGCAGCTGGAAGGCGGCCAGCACCAGCTGGAAGGCCCGGGCCAGGGGTCCCAGCGGGGGCGGCCCAGGACCCAGCACAAGCACGTAGGCCAGCTCCAGACCCACCGCCGTCGCCCACAGCGCGGTGAGCACGAGGGGCAGCCGCGTGGGCGGCCCGTCCGCGCTCCCCACAGCCCTGGGCTGCCCCATGGCCTGGACCCACCCGCTGTAGGGTCCCGAGCACCCCGCCGCTTCCGTATTGGGGCGGGGATAGTGTTAGACGGAAGTCTACCCCGACCAATGGGAGATCTGAGGGGCGTGGCTGTGAGTTTAGAGTCACGTGGAGTCGCCAGCGGATGCGAAGATGTGATTGGACGGCCAAGTGAGCCAAGAAGATGCTTGGAATCCTGTTGGCGCTCGAACTAGGGCGGGGCAGCGGCGTTAGCGCCGCCCACCCACGGAGGCCCCGCGCCGCCCGCTGAAGCCCGGCTCGCTGGGCTGGCTCCACAGGGTGCCTGCAGGATTGAGTTGCACCCTTGGTGGCGTCGGGGTTTCCCGGCTCAGCACATTCCCCATGACCCCCCAGCCTCCCCGATATTAATAGCCCTGCATCAGCCCATCCAGCTGGCCTGGAGCCCCTCCCCGTGCTCGAATCTCTCCCTTAGTCACCCCAGGAAACGTTCAAAACATCTCTGCGCCTTGGTGTTCCTGACTGTGAAATGGGGATAGGGCTCCCGGTTTCCCACCAGCGCCGCGCAGGAAGAGGGTCAGGAGAAGGCCCGCAGCGCAGCGTCTAGAGCGGTCTGCAGCCGCTATTATTGTCATCCCCGTTGTGCACGAGGAAACTGAGAGGGCCCGTGGCTTTCCCAAGCTCACACAGCGCCCTAGCGGCAGAGCTGGAACGCGAACCCCGGATCTCCGTCACGGGAACCGAGCCAATGCCCCCAAATTCTGCAGTCCCCAGGCCCCGTGCACCTTCTGGCCCGGTCCCGACCCCAGCGCCCTCGCCCCCATTCGGCCCCTCCCCCCGCCCCCATATTTAGCGCGAATCCGATCTGGGGCTGGGCCCGCCGCTACTTAACGCGGCCCCTGTGTCCTGGAGAGCGCCGAGCAGAGCGAAGCCAGGAGCTCCAGCGAGATGATGATGGTTATGCAGCCCGAGGGTCTGGGGGCCGGGGAGGGGCCCTTCGCGGGCGGCGGCGGCGGCGAGTACATGGAACAGGAGGAGGACTGGGATCGCGACCTGCTGCTGGACCCGGCCTGGGAGAAGCAGCAGCGGAAAGTGAGTACCAGCCCATTTCCTGATGGCAAAACTGAGGCCCGAAAAGCCGGTCAGTTTTGGCTTGTCATCTCAGCAGGTCAGGAGCAGAGCCTGCAGAGTGCCACTCCCTCGCCCAGGCTCTGCCCATCAGTCCTCTGCTGTCCCCCAGGGCTGGAAGAGAGAGAGGGCTGGGAGCCCTCATGAGGGGTTTAGGATGACGAGGAGAGTTTCCGGTGTGCCCCCCAGGATTCATTCCCCTGGGTCCACTGCCCTACTTCTCCTGGTGAAAACAGGTTGGCCTTAGCTCAGGAGATCCAAGTTTGGGGGTTTCTGGAAGAATAATCTCTTTTTCCCCACACCTACCCCACCTCTCTAGTTAGATATTCCCAGGCCCCACCCTAGCAGCCAGGCAACTAGTAAAGAGACAGGAATGTCGGGGTGCGGACAACCACCCCAGATCCCTTCCCACCCTCTCCTCTGTATTCTCTCCAGCATGGTGTCCGTAGTCACTCTATTTCAATTGTCAAATGAGGAAACTGAGGACTAGAAAGAGGCAGAAATAGGACCCAAATCATATGCTGTCAGAAAACGGGTCCCCCCACCCCCCAACCTGAGGGTCTTTGCCCCTTGCTTGCCGCATTCCCACTCTTTCTCAGGGTACCCCTCCCTGCTGAAAAGGCCACAGGACTGGGGAGGAGGGAGCCCTGGGTCCCCTTACGCAGTAACCTGACTCTCTGGCCAGATGGACACTTTGTGCTGAGGCAGCGGCTTGAGGGAGCTGGAGAGGGGCACATGGGCAGCTGCTGCTTTGGCCCAGCCTTGTAGGGTGCTCAAGCCCCCTCTCCCTGAGCTATTTTCGCTCCCAGACTTTTCCAAGTGGAGGGGGCAGGACACCTGGGTGCCCAGAAGAGAAATGATCCAGGCTGGGGTGAAAAAACCTTAGAGAGTGGCAGGCCAGGAACAGGGAGGACACCATGGGGTTACTGGACCCTGCTCAACATTTGCCAACAGTATGACTCCAGGACTGGGCAGGCAACAGGGGTGCTCAGTGAAATTTTCAGGATCTGAGAATCCCAGGATTGAGAATCAGAGCACTTCTACTGAGTTAGGTGATGGGAGATGACTCCAGGGACCAGGAGGCTCAGCTGACAAGCTTCCCCAGGTGACAAGCTTTCCCTCAGGCTCCTCTTGCACCTGTCTCCAAGCCGGGCTGTGGCCCTCTGGTCCAGCAATCTCCCGGTGATGTCATTCCTGCCCCTGACTCCAGCTGCCATCTGCTATGCAACAACTCTTATCCTCACCCCCACCCACCCAGGCCTCTCCCTGATCCAGGTCCATGTGTCCTTCTTAAGATACATGCCTCTTTAACTTGCCTTTGTCGCTTAACAAAATATGAGGAATATCCTTTCAATCCAACGTACAGCCACCCACCTCATCCATTCATTCAGTGGCTGAGGAGTATAGATGCTCTGTAAATTAATCAGCTTCGCGGGGATGCTGGACATTCTGGTCTGTTCTTTCTCATCCAACATTGTTTATCACAATGTAACGAACATCTCTGCGCTCAGCTTTAGCCCTGCCTCATCCCTGCTACTCTTCTGCATCTTGGAACACTCCCACCTCCTTCCACCTGATGCCTGAGTCCTCTTCATTCAACCTCATTCAAAAATATCCACGCATTATTTCTTGAGAAGGTCCAACTATGTGTCAGGCACTGTTTTGGGTGCCAGGAACTCAGCAGGGGACAAGCCCAGGGAGCGTGTACTCCAGCAGGAACAGATGTTTCTATCTCATCCACCTCGTCCTGCCACCTTCCCTTCTTTCACCCTGGTCCCGGTCACCACCTCCTCACTTTTCCCTTCTGCTCTGCCAAGTCTTCAGTCTGCATTCTGCAACCAGAATGAGTTTTTAAAAAACACAGTTCTGCTGCTCCCGCCCCCCGCCCCCCTCCGCCCCCCGCCTGAAAACTTCCCTGACTCCCTGTTGCTCTCAGGGTCAAGTTCAAACTCCCTGGCTTAGCACCCAAGTTCGTGCATGACCTGGCCACTGCTGTCCCTCCGGCCTGCCTCCCACTACTTACAGCCCAACACCCCCAGCTTCACTCTGGCAGTGGCCAGATAGCTGTAGCCCCGCAAACCTAGCAACTGTTTCTTACTGCCAAGCACTTGCCCACGTGGCTGTCCCTGCCCAGAATGCCCTTGCCTGCCCTTTGCTGCCTGAATAATTTCTGCTCCTCCATCACAGCTCTGATCAAATATTAGCCTTCCCCAAGGGGTCCCCACCTGATTTAGGGAACTCCCCTGGAATCCTGGACACCAGTCTCTCCCAGCTCTTCTCAGACCAACATGGCTCTTTGACTGTGAATTGCTTTAAGGCAGGGGCCACATCTCATTAAGAATCATGTTTGGACCTGGCCAATTTGGCTCAGTGGATAGAGCATAGACCTGTGGACCAAAGGATCCCGGGTTTGATTCCGGTCAAGGGCATGTACCTTGGTTGCAGGCTCCTCCCCAGCCCGGGCCCTGGTCAGGGCTGATGCAGGAGGCAACCAACTGATGTGTTTCTGTCTTTCCCTCTCTCTTCTATTTTCCCTAAAAATCAATGGAAAAATATCCTTGGGTGAGGATTAACAACAACAATTTAAAAAAAAAAAAGAATCATGTTTGTCGAGTGAAAGAATGCCTCCTCCTTTTCCATGGAGGCCCCGCCCAGGCCTGCCTGCCCCTGCCCCCTCCATTTCCAGGGCATCCCAGACTCCAGGGCTGGAAGGCACTGCAGAGAATCAACTGCCCTTCCTGTGCTTGGGGCCCCATCAAGTAGTGCTCAGCGCTCAAAACACCTCCAGTGACAGGAAGCTCACCCCCTTCCCTTAGCAATGACAGCCCCTCAAGAATTTAAAGCATCATCTCCCAGGTCAGCTTCTAGGGCATCTGAAAAGCTCTTTCTGAGGAGGGGACACTGGCTGAGGGAAAGAATTCCAAATAACTTCCAGGGCCACCGTCCAGGAGAACCGGCTTTGTGGTAGGGGAATGCTCTAATTCTAGAATCCTGCCAGGTCAGGGAAGAGGAACCTGAGATAACGTGGAGTCTGTTCCCTTAGCTGTACAGATGGGGAGGCTGAGCCTAAGAGGGGATTGGAGCCCAAATATGGATTCGACCAAGGACTTCATGGCTGATGGATCCAGGAGAATCCAGGCCTGAAAGCTTGGTAGTTTGGTAGAAACTTGTGCGCCAGGCTCCAGGTCACCCCATCCCCAGTAGACACACAGCCATATACCAGCCTTCCCATCCCAAACCAGCTTTTCAGATGCTCTGACTCTGGGGGGCAGGGGAGGAGAGTCGCCTCCACAAACTAGATCAGGCTGGGCCCGAGTGCCCAGCTGACCCTCCACAGCCTGCAAAGCTCTTCCACACTCATAGTCTACCTGGAGGCCAATTCACAACAGCCCGGAGAGGTCGATGGGGCTCATATAAAAACACACAGGTGCACAGTCCCTAGGGCCAAACCCTCAGAGCCAGATGTGCTTTGACCCAGAATTTTTCAGGTTTTAAAAAGGCTGTATCATCCTGCATTGGCCCTGGTACCTCAGAGGGCCCCAAGCTTTGGCGTGTCTGCTTTATGATTTTCTAACCATCCAAACTGAGACCTGCATGGGACCCAGACCCCATTTCTCCTCTTCCAGGAGAACTAAAGCTCAGAGAGGGAAAGGGACTGGCCCAGATACACAGCAAGTCAGTGACTGAGCCAAGACTGGAATCCAGGGCCTTGGGCTCTGAGATCTGCTCCGACCAAGGAGCCTGAGCACTGTCCTCAGCGCTAGGGTCTGAGCGCTGTTCTCCGCCCCCAGACTTTCACTGCCTGGTGCAACTCGCACCTGCGCAAGGCAGGCACCCAGATCGAGAACATCGAGGAGGATTTCCGCAATGGCCTCAAGCTCATGCTGCTCCTGGAGGTCATTTCAGGTGAGGTGTGCAAATTTGTGCACAGGGACCCCGGGACCTAGGGGGATCCCCAGAGCTG